CAGCGAGATTATTAAAATGAAAAGGTTGCCGATTAGCATATTTAACGCGAGGCTGAGCGTGCAACGTGTGTGTTGCATCGAATTGATTCACTAGCTCTAATCTTGTCCTGATACTCGATTATGATTTATGTACAATGCCTATTTCACAGCGCATCTGACGGCAACGTTTTACAACCACCACGTGCGCCCGTCACATACAATTTTAATAAGAAAGTTTATCGTGAAAAAATGTAATATTGTGAATAATACAGAAGAGCGAGGAAACGTCAGTCGACGTGCGAATTGCGACTTCGTTCACGGTCCCAAGAAAACAATCGCCGAAGCTGTCTAATCTACGCTCAGTCTGAACGACAACGACCAGCTCGACATTTGCTGTGACTGACACGGCGACTCGTACGACACAGCCGTCCATCGATTAGCGGGCAGTCGGTATAATATCGAGGACGTAGACATCGCGAGTAACTTAGCGCCCTTGAAGCCAATTAACCTCGCAAAAGGATAGCACGAGCGCGTGAAGCAACGCTCGCTATCTATATTTTAATCCGTCATAATTAAATGAATATTTCATCTCCCTGGGCTCGTTCCAACGCGTCTACATTAGGTTGGAGAGGGGTTGCGCCAAAGGGCTTCATGCAAATTCTCGCCAGATTGGCCGCCAGTAAGATAGAGGGAGAAAAATAGAAGAGCGAGGAACAGACGCAAGAGAGCGAGAGAGCGAAGAAGCCAAGTGGCGTGATAAAGCTACTGCCGTCTATATATACGGCGTGCATGCGGTATCGTAGCGGGCTTTCAAGCGCGCGATTTGAATAGATTTGAAATTTGTTTCTGAATCGAGAGAGCTGCTGCCGCCGAGATAAATCCGCCGTTTGAGACGTGCGAAAACTTCCGATGCGCGCGCGCCCCAGACTACTTTGCACACTTCTACCCAGATCTATCTCGTAAACATATCTACCTACGCGTTGCTTTTTCAATCTTACATTTTACATCTCGATAAATGCAATCGGCATAATAACGGATCTCCAGCTGAATCCTATCCAAGCCTCGCTAAGCAGCTTCAGTGTAATAATAAACTTATCGCTTCTTTGGATTATTATTTTTTCTGGCGAGCTGTAAATTAGTTTAGTTTTCGGGCAGAGAGAGAGAGAGAAAGACGCTTTTAATGGATAGCGTAGGTTGCTCGACCAACGCATTAAATACATAAGCTTATTACCGTCGATTAGCATACTACACATCTACACAAACTCCATTGGGTGCAATACCGTGATGAAACTAAGAAGGTTAACACGAACCTCGTTATACTCGAGTATAGGCTAGCGAGTTTTGCGCTCGCAATCCAAGTATACGCGTGACACATAACAAGTTAAAACAGTTTTGAGCTTTTTACTGCCAGTTTAGTACAGTATAATGCGATTACATTTTTTTTCTTCGTTAACTCAGTTGTATATCCGAAATCTTTATCTAAATACATAAAACAACTTTGCGTATAAAACTAGTAAAATAATTTAGAAAACTTAATAAGCGATGAATTAATCCTATGAATGAAACTTAAGGCATCGCTCCGAACTGTAGGAAGTATTATACAAAACGGGGATAAAGCGAAAGCTCTAGATAATGCGAAAGCACAAGTTTGAAGTGATCCCTACAGCTTTGACGAGGACGAATGGTTACGGTATAACCATTACAATGTAAGAGAGTCGAGAGCACTTGAACTGCTTGTTAATTTGCCACCTTGAAATTGCACTGTGATTATCTATATATACACACAGCTCCGATGTCCCTTACTTCTCTCAGCGAGAGATATGAGCACGTAGATGCGCAGCGCGCTACACTATAGCGTAGAACCTAATGAGCATGAGATGTTGCTTCCGTCCAATTCCAAATAGTCAGAGACGGATTACAGCAGAGAGAGAGAGAGAGAGAGAGAGAGAGAGAGAGAGAGAGAGAGAGAGAGAGAGAGAGAGAGAGAGGGCACTCTAATTCTCACCATTAGTGCTATAATTTTGCCCCCAAAGTCGAGCTTTTGAACTAGCCCCCACGCGCTAATTCATAGGAGACGCAGTAGTCTGCGCACGGACAGTCAATTTCAGATAATAGGCTCGCTCGTCGAGCTCTGGAGGTGCTGAATGATGTAGCCTTTGAAGAAATTGAGAAATATGAAGGTACGCGCGCGCGAGCGAGGATCTCAGTCTACACTTGAATTTTTTATCGCAAAGATTGCGTACTCCATTGACTCCCTGTGTACCGGCGTGATTTCAATCTGCAATGAGGATCACCAAAGACAATCCTCGAGCTGCAAGTATTTCAAATAAATTTTATATTCGACGGACACCATTGCGACAATCGACCGAACGACAATGCATATATGCAGGTAAAATGGACGAGGAAGTAATCGGGCGACTCGTGACCGAGCGAACGGTTGTTAAAGTCTCGAGAGAGAACTTGAGAATTAGCTGAGAAATTCATTAGAATTTCCACGTAAGGCTTATCGTTCTACTTAGCTAATAGCACACGTGCGCCAAGCTCGCAGTACGAAGGGTTAGAGAAAGAGAGAGAGAGAGAGAGAGAGAGAGAGAGAGAGAGAGAGAGAGAGAGAGAGATATGTGTCGTCGTAGTCGTGGGGTCGAGTTCTCGACGTCGTGAATGATAGGGGTAATTTTTACTCCAAAGTTCAAGCAGTTTCCGTTTGGGTTTGCCTTTCTCTCTCTCCCTCTCTCTGTCTCTCTTTCTCGCTCTATTCCTTCGTCTATATGGCCTAAGCATTACACGTTATTACATCGCATTCAACGAGATTGCTTCGTGCCCGACAAAAAACCACGTCAATTTTTAATTCCCCGCAGCACGAGTGTCCTCTTTTTTCGTGCTTTCATTTAATAATACTGTCTCGCTCGACACCGATAGTCACAACTTATTTTGGCGAGACAGTATAATCCTGCTAAAATCATTTGTTTTCTTTTTCGTAATACGTCACATATGCGTACTAACTAAATTCGTTATGTTACGAATTAATGCATATAGTAACTTCAATTGAATGACGTGCATTATAAATATATTGAACTTGATAAGCTAAAAATTGGTTTTATTCTCAAATGCGGACATAATTTTGATTTCTTACGCTTTCTGTATAGTAAAATTGCCTTGCTTACCTCGATGGCACGAAGCACAACGTTAGCAAGTGAAAAATTGTAACTAAAAGAGCAATTTCACGGTTAGCAACAAGCCCTCGTTTCACGCGAGGCCTGTAGAATATTTCAAATGCCAGGTTTGACGAGAATCGCGCGACGTTGCTTGCGATTCAAGGGCCTATTATTTCAAAAACGCTACTACAGAGGCGCCTTCCTCCTTATTGTGCTTGGTGCGCGCGAGTGAAAACCGAAAGAAGTACACCTTATTTTTCAAATTGCACGCAAAATAGTCTCTTCCGCAACACTTGAGACTTATGTCTAGCCGCGTAGAGTCGAACTTTTCTCGGCCGTTGCTATTCTCTCACAATGAGAAAGCACCTCACACGAGTCAAAAAGAATGAATAAAAGGTACGAGGCATACGCTATATACGTCGCTTGTGAATGACAAAATTGCAATAAAGCCAAATCATTACCAATTGTATAAATTTATATTGTTATTTTACAACAAACTTGGAATTAGAATAGATTACCAATGCTATGAATTAATTAACTCGATAATGGTGAAGGCAAAGGAGTAAGAAAAAATAGTTAATTGTATACAAGAATAAAAATTTATGATTACAATAAGCTTTACTAATATGTGCAAGTGATAACGTCGATAACGTTTCGAGATGAAAATATTATACTTTAAAGAATCACGAAAATAAACCCGAAATATGCGATTTAACAAAAAAAATGCGAAGACTTCGTAAATGATATGTAAGAAAAAAAGGAAAGAAAGAAGCGAGTAAGCGAGAGGGAAAGAGCGAGGTAAAAGAGCATAAGCTGGAGCAAAGAAAAATACATACCGCTTAGCATTAGCATACGTAGAAGTGAAGCCCCTAAATGCGACGAGGCTAATCCGTCGACGTAGGCACGTAAACGTAGTTGGAGTGGCTTCGGCTCGTCGTCACTGTAGATTCTTCGATAAATACACTTACGGGGCACGCTACATCATGCGCGATTGTGTGTGCATCGCGTGCAGTTGTGTGTGCTCGAACGGACGTCAATTGATCGGCTTCGACGACAACGAGCTATGCTACACCTACCGGTACTGTTAAATCTCTTACTCGGGTTACGTCAAATTAGATTTTGACATGAAAACAACGTTCGCTTACGTAACCATCAATTCAATCTTGCAAATGTTCGATGACGATTGCGCACCTTTCTGAAACAATTAATAATTAATTAATTTTTATACAATTGGCGCATTGTATTTTTAAGAAGTTTTCAGTTTATTCATTTATTTCTATCAGTTTAGCGTACACTGTAATTAATGTTACATGATTGCACAGAATTTTTATTTAAAAAATAGAAACAAGATTTATATGTATACTTGCATTTGATTTTATAAATAGTTTATTTTGACACTCAGATTTCCACGATCAAACACATTGTCGAGAACTATTCGATATACCGCCTAGTTTCCTATAAAATAAATTTTGCACATTTTTAATACCAATAGAAATTACTAATTTCTTTCTGGTCTAATTCTTACTCTCGCTCGACAAATTTTGTGATAATCTATACTTACTGAGATGTTAGTGTAGTAAATCTTTGCTTTTAACAAAGTATTCAAACAGCATATTTACATTTACTATGAATATAATTGTACGAGTAAAAACCGTTATTAAAAAAAGTTTCTTCAATTCCAAAAAACTTTAATTGCCTGAATTTCTAATTCATTGTTTTTATATCATCACTCATATTGTTTGTAAATCATATTATATTGCATGCAATGTATGTATCATTGCAGTACAGTATTCATACATATAGTGCAACAGAACATAATTCAAATTTTAACGATAATTATTATATATTTAAAATATAAAGTCACCAATGACATTCATTACCACCGAAGTCCTAGTATACAATGACGTCAAAATTCTTGTTCATCTGGAAAAGTACGTGGCGTATTACTCACTAATAGTTCATAAATAGTAAAATAAGTGTATAAAGTAGAAATAATGATGTTACGGAAAATCTCATTGGTCTGATTATTAAAATTGTAAATGAAAATTGCAGCGACATCATTGATTTAATTTTACTTCTACTTCCAATACAACACGATGTCTTCTATTTACATTGGTTTAATGTGTTTATCAGGCGACGATAAAAATAATGTATGCTATTCTCTTCGTGCTTATTAAAATATAATACTCTTTTTTTTTCGAAGAAAGTACATGCAGTGTGGAACTTTAAAACAATAATAGTAAACTATTAACAAACTATTAATAAATTGCACATAAACTAAAATTATTAATTTATTTTGGATGACATCGCCCATACGAAACCAATTGAAAAAATGGCTAATCAACTTCCACGTGAAAGTGTTGCATATTTTATGTTGAAAAATGTTAATTAAAAAACGTAAATTCAAGATTAACCCGAAATATCACGGTAATAACATCGACCGCGAAGATATAGACTTTCGAAAATACTCGATTGAGCATTCAAGCGCAAAGCGAGCATCGATCAACAGACAATACGGAAGAAAAGGATCAACGACATAACGGTATATACCTGGAGAGCGATCGACGACGAGCAACAGCCGCAGCCACAGTATAACGGATAGCATATATATATATATATATATATATATATATATGCATAGTGGGAGTATCCTGGCAGCAGCTGGGAGAGTCGAGTAGCCTGCGATGCATTACAATATATACAAAAGAGTCGACGTAAACCTTTGCCCCTAGCCCTTTTTTATTTGGACTCGCGAGCTTTTACGAGAAAAGTATGCTCCCCCTTCGGCCTTGCTCTTTCATGCAAAGCCGAAAAACCCAGATACCCAAATCGCGCGGCGCTGGCCTGCTAACCCCTTAACTGCCTATACGTGCCAATCAAACCCCGAAGCCCGCGAGCGATTCTAATTTCGGCGATTCACCCCCCTCCCCCCTCCCTTTATCCTTGGGCAAACATATGCGTGCACGTGTGTCGAGCTGCGAAAGCCAGATATGCTGCGCGCTGTACATCTCGCAACCGTAATGCCAGCCGCGTCAAGTGGGTGCGCCACCGATCGAAGGCGACGCCTCTGATTTATGATGGAACCAGGATTTTACGTAGAGCACGCTCGGCATACGGCACGCTTATGGTTTATCGATTATTTCTTGCCAGCGGTTTCAAGTTAAGTAGGATTTTTAACAAGAGCATTTTGATGCGCTGAAATCAAGAAGTTATCAAAGTTTCTATTCTAGTCAAACATCAAACTTGGTAGCGCTCGTCTAACAAAGTTCATTATCACAGCTAAAGCAGATATCGCATTCTCCATCAAGATAGCAAGATAATAGAGCCTTCTTACGCAGAGCAGCAGGAGAAGCAGCAGCAGCAACTCCTTTGACGTTTGAATAGTAATTCCGCCAAGTACGACGTAGCTCGCGCGCGAAGCTCGACTTTACACTGTCGGTTGGCGCGCCGCGTACGCGGCAGCCGGCGCGACACGCGAAACTTATCCGCGCGATAGAGAATGGAGAAACTGTACACTAACTTGGCGGTTAAACGCTCACACAGTCGCCTCAAAGACGCAAGCTCAACAACGTAGAAAGCCAAGATGAGCGTAAATTGTGGCCGTTGTCAATTGCTACGGGCGCGGAATTTGTTTGCGCGCGCCGAGGAAATGTCGGGCGCTGTTGTTGCGCCGAGCCCGGCGCTGACGAGCAAAAGTTTTTGGGGCTTTTAAGGGAAAAGAGAGCGGCAATTTATTACGAGCGGCGCGCGCGCAGTCGAGAGATGTTTATTCCGCCGGCTTAAACTTAGCTCATTTGTCGAGAACGCGAGAGCGGCAAATATTTGCCAAAGACGAAATAGTTTAGCCGCGGAGGGCCCAGGGATTTCGTGCGCCGCCTAATTACTTTGAAAGTGTGACTTGTCAAATATTTTTCTTACTTTGCCCAGTTGTTTGCATTGAGGAGCGCAGCCAAGCTGTTTCTTCATTGTCAAACTTTTTTCCGCGCGTTTCATCTACGGACAGCGCCAAGATTGCGGAGACTGCGCAAAATTTCAATATTTAGATGGCTTGTTTGCCTGTACACTGCAACAAGTTTCGTCGGAGCTTTAAAATCAATGAAAAACCAGTTTCTCAGGCGTTTCTGTATGCATCGAATCAGATTGATCGATCGTGTGATCTCGACTGAGGTTCGTTTGGAAGACCAGTCATTCGTCCGATCAGTCACATCGGTGAAATGGTGGAATGGGATAAGGCGACGGCGACCTAAAAAATGGCAAGTTTCATCTGAAAAGTCGCGTATAGCTAAAGCGCTAATTGCGAAAACAAAAGAAGCGTTCATTTAGATACGCGGGGGCAGATAGAAAAAGCTGTGCGCGCGGCTTGAAACGCTGATGAATGGGAGATTGATATCGGACCGAAGATAAACAGCTCTTGGCGAGATGCAGCTACAATAGTGCGTTCTACCTACGTTTTAAAAAAAAATGAAAAGCGCTGCAGAGATTATACTCGGAGGAGTATAAATAAATTAGCATGAGACTCGGAGCGACGGCATTCAATGGGACATTTAAGAGGGTAGTTAATTGGCGCATTAACTGCGCCGCTAAACACGCATTTACCTTCCTCTCTCTCTCTCTCTCTCTCTCTCTCTCCTCCTTCCTTAGTTTCTTTTCTCCTCGTCATTTCCTCTCTTTCATTTCATTGCGTTTGCTCTATCCTATCTCGGTTCTCTTGCATCTTTTGCATGCTCTTTTACGTCGTATTATTATGCGATCATGCTACGCGATAAACATAATGAACACAGTGTATTGCATTTTTTGAACTTCAATTGGCTTCACAAAAGCTTTATGCACTAATGAAATACGATGCGTTCAGATAGTTGTTATTTTTAGCAATTTACAGGGGAATCATTAATGTCGTGATTAGATAATAAACGAATTTTTTTTTTATCAGTAATAACTGTTATTAGACGGAACGAACCTACGTATACAAAGTTAGTTATGACAAACGGTATGATGGTTTTCTTTAGAAACAAAATCATAAATAAAACCACTTTTCACTCGCATTTGAAGCTTTGATTCCGCTAATTGTAAGTGGTGACCTAGCAAGTCTCGAGTGGAGAACTGTTCCTCGGATCATTAACGCTGCTTTCGCATCGTTCTCGTTCTCGTTTTCAACTCTTTGCAGCACAAATTACTAAATTAAAGCCCTTTAAAGTAATGCCGCTTGTCAATGGCGAGAAAAGCTTCTTGTGCGCATAATTAAGGAGAACGTATCCACGTCATCCTCGTCACTGCCCTTGTGATAGGCACATAACGAGGCTAAACGCGTAAAGTTTTAAATGAGATCAGAAGAGAGCGAGAGAGAAAACTCATCCGGATCCCTCTCGCCGTTGACGATAAGAAGAAAAGTCATGCGATTACCGGTTCGAGAAAATAACTTGCACGATTATTCGCGGCTGCTTTCAAATTGCAACATAACATTGTAAATATTGTATTTCGATCGAAAGTGTAATATTACTGCATGATCGAGATAGTTTCGTCGGAAAAACAATTGTAAATAGAGGCGACCGAATGAACACTATCGGTTTTACAGCCTTTTTTTGCCGCTATTGCTCTATCAACACTGCCTGAAAAAATGAACGAACCGTTGGAGAAAGCGAAAGATTCTTTTTGCCAACAACGTGCTATTTCTCTATAAAAATTTTACGTATCGTCCCTCGTGTTATTCCGTTTCATTTTCTGCCGAGCGCGAATGCCGCCTTTTTTCTCGTTGCTGATGTTGTTGTTGTTGTCTTTCTTTTTCTTTTTTCTTTTCTTTTTCAGAAATCGTCTATCGCGGTTATTTATACGGGTGTTACGTGTTAACCGATCGTTGAATCAGGCACAGTCTATCGCCCGCGAAAATAAATTCAACGGTACGTTTAACTTTGCGGTGAGTTTCGTGCCTGCAGCGAGTAAGAGGTTGATTGAAATTTTTATATTCGATCGTTTTTCTCTCCCCCTGTGTAATTTTGATTTTTATGCTTTTTTTTCTCGTAGGAGCAAATAATTGAGGCGAAATCCAGCCAGCAAGAGTGCATTCGTGCAGAAACTTGAAACTATTATTTCAATTGCTGCCGCTGCACTACTTTGCAGCAAAAAATAATAAGGATTCATTATAAGGAATCGTGTTATTGCGAAAGGAAGTATTCAACAACTTGATCGAAGACAAACAGTCCTCCTGCTCGCAGAAGTTGCTAGATTACGTGACGCACAAAAAAGAGGAAAGACAAATTGAAAATCTCGCAATTGATTATACAGTTAAACCCCCGCAGAAATGTAATGGTAAATTTGCATTTGGCATATGGATAGGAGAGCAGCGGTGGCGTGCCCTCGTCACCATTTATTTCAATTATTCGAGTAATGGTCGAGCATCGATTATAAGCCGACAGCAGCAAAGCAGTCGTCTAATACATCTATTGTTTCGCAATATTATGACTCTGTTGGAGCGGATATTTACGGCTGGCAGTCTCCGTGCCTGTGTGGAAAGAGGGAGAAGAGGAGGAAAAAAGCGAGCCAAGTATCAAGTCTGCGCACATTATAACGAGAAATCCCCCTGGAAACAAATCACGGCAAAGGCGCACACGAGCACGCACGCGAGCGTTCTCCCACAAGTCGGAGCGCGCTCCGATTGCGAAAAGTCGATCAATTTGGCTGGAGCTCGGCTCGTGGGCGTCACGTAACTCTTTCTTAATTGGTCGCTGCACGGACACTTGCCCTGCGGCCACCACGTGCTGCTGCGATCTTCGCGCATTCGGATCACGCTCGAGTCGTCAAACGCTAACTATAAGTCGATCTCACTCTGCCTCCAGAGAGCCCCGCGCAGACTAACGAGGATTGCATTACCATGCCTCGCGCTATATACACGTATCCCCGACTCTGCCCGTATGCAGCATTGCCGGCCCGAGAGAGGACCAAAGGGGCTTGCTAACGTGGCACACGCGCGCGCGCGCGAGACTCCATCTCCAAATTACCCCCGCCCTCGTCTCGTTCTACAGCTGCCAAGGCCGAGTACTCATCTCGCCATCCACTTTCAAATCGCTCAAAATCACCTTTAACTTTTCGCACGCGTATGCACGCCGTTTCCACGCCGTTTCCACGCCTCGGTTCTCGAGGCTAACTCCCGCCTGACAAAACGCCGTATTTATCTAAAAAATGAGAGACCGAGATCCCAGGCTCTGGCTCTACTAAGATAGACATTTGTTCGAGAGTAAGCGCTTGCCGCAAAAAAGCTCTCTCTCTCTGTGAAAGCTCAGCCAATTTCATTTGACTTACCTTTTTTATGTATAACAGTGAAACAAGACTTATATGAGTCTACTCAGAGTAACTCGATATTAACTCCAATATTTCTAAGGGTTGTGATTCATTTTATTTTTTCATCAATTAACCACGGATAAGTTTCTCATGAATCTTTCTACAATGGTTGAATCAATTTTTAACCAACTGCTGTATCATTTTTTCAATTTTCAAGCGACTTTTGTTTCTTAACGAAAATCTTAAAAACAAATTAAAACTTCGAAAAAGTTTAAATTTCGAAAAGGTTTATTGGCTCTGAAGTTGTGTACGAAACTGTCGTTTTTTAGTGCCTCAAGGGGATAATTTCGAACTTTGAAAGGTCTTGAATCCAAGTACCCCTAACATTCAACAATAAAACCATACAAGTTTTAGCGACCAAATAGTCTTTTTTTCCTCATGAACCTGCTGTTAAAATAAAAGTAACGGAAAAAAAAGCTCTTTCCGTTTCCTAATCGAGATTGCAACGAACGAGGAGCAAAAGCGAAAGAAGAGAAAAGACACGACGGCAAAAGATCTTCTTTGAAAAAAAGAAAAAAAAAGAAGTCCGTTGGATAAGAAGGTAGTACCGCGATTTTTCTGGCGAGACGGAACACATTACGCGCGATTGTTCGAGACAGGTCGTCGTCGCGAAAACGATCGCTCGAAAAGTTTCTTAATCCACGTTCGCGCGCATGCGAAGTCGATAAACTTTTATTCTCTTTTCCTCTTCTGACTCCCTTGGAAGTTCACTCCCCGAGGCGTCGGACTACATAATTTTGATTAAAATCCACGAGTTCACTTTTTACACCGCGATCAAGCTACTTACTTATATTCATTGTCTGCACCCGTCGGAAATAAATTTTAAATTACAACTCACTTCGTTTGACTATGTCGTAGCACTGAACTACAGTAGCGTCACAGTGCGCTAATCAATTTTAAGTAATATCAATGACTCATTAGTTTAATTCATCCGTAATTGAGAAGATGGCACGAAATCACTGCCTTGAAATGGTAGATCTAATTGTCTAGATTTATCACAGATCGAGCCATTCAATAATTCAACACAATAAGTATACCATTTTTATGTAAACTTGCTAAGCGCTGTTAATAAGGAATAGAAACGATCGGTGACGTATGTGTCAATGCTTTAACTTGAGAAATAATGTCAATCAAAACGTGCCAGTTATATATATAATTAAATCTGGCACACTGCACGGTATAATTCATCCCACCATAGAAGTTTCAATGCGTCGAAGAGGCTTCGTAGAATTTCTGTGGCTTTAACCTAGATAAGATTCAGATAAATCCACTAGAGGCGAATAAAAGCTTTTTCGAGAAAAGGGTATGATGTGCGAATAGAGAGAGAGAGAGAGAGAGAGAGAGAGAGAGAGAGAGAGAGAGAGAGAGAGACACGTTTACGTAGGGACACACAGGGACGCAAGACGGCTAGGTTTTACCGCGGTCTACTGGCAGCATAGCGAGCACAAAGAATCGAAAGGCGAATGAGAATGATTATTACACTGGCGAGTGCTACGCGTGCACGCGCTCGCTCACCTCCCGAAGCCCCTTCTCGCATTTGATAATCAACGAGGGTACGAGGGACATGAAAGGCGCTTGAATATCAAGAGACCGAGTGGCCCGTGTGCTCGAGTATATATACGCCACCTCTGCGCGCTCTCGCTCCGTGCAAACGAATAAATCTCGCTCTTTTTTGCATTTTAATTGCTCTTTTTCATTGTGCTTTCCTTCTCGCGTCTTTTCCGCGCTCGCTCGTTCTCTCCATTGTCCAATACGCCCTATAGACATTTCATTCTCTACTTCAAAGACATCTAAAGATCTTCGCTTACGATTTTAGCTTGATGATCTCACGGTTTTATTATTTTCAGTGCTGCCAGTCGAATTACGCAGTCTCTTTTTTACGCGATCATCAACGTTCATCTGCCTCGCGACATCTGTCAGATTTATAAAATCCAAGGTACAACTCACGTTCAATCTGCATGGGTAAGTAAATTGAGATCGGAGAGAGCAGCGCGAAGAAACAATGGATTTTCGACGTGAAAGAGGTAATACAAATAGGCAAAGCTGTGCGTGCAGATTGGCTAATGGCTTAGAAAGATGCAGGTCGAGGGGGGCACGCTCGCACAAGTCGATCAGGCGAAAGGCAAAGGTAAATGGCGCATGCCCGTGACACAGTATGAGTCCCCGTGTGTCCGTGCACAAACATGAGAAACGATTTGGGAATTGCGTAGAAAAGGGATTAGAGGAGCGAGCGGACACGCGTCTCCTTTGGTCAGCTCTCCCCGCGGTCGAGCCCTGCTAACCAGAAAACGGGAATTTCATGATTAACTAGCAACGCACGCTGATTAATCCTTCGGGATACAACTGCGTATTATATACGAGAGCAGCTCTTTGTGCCGTCGTCCTTTCGCAAAACTTCGTTATCGCCTGATGAACCATTTTCTTTTTCTCATAATCTTCATCAGCACCGTAAAAAAAAAGCAAACTGAACCGATGGTTCTCGGAATGAATAAACGAATAATCTAGGAAGGAGAGAACAAAAATTGAGCTCTGATGCGCGACTGCGTCCATTGTCTAGCGCGCGACATAAAAAGGCAAAGAGCAGTAACAAGACGGATTACGTGAGATAAGAAGACAGCGGAGGAAGGAGCAGAAACGCATTATGAAGCAATGCCGCGGCAACTCCTCTCTCTCTCTCTCTCTCTCTCTCTCTCTCTCTCTCTCTCTCTTTCTCTTCCGTCTCCGCGCACTGCTTCGTAATGTACGGGGATGCTTCTTGCTGAAGATTTTCCCCGTTCTTCGCCATTGTCACCCCTCGTTACTTACACTTTGCCATCCCCGTGCCTTTCGTATACAAGCCCACGTTACTGCGACACGAGGATTAGTTATACTTTTTGCGCGACGAGCTACCCTCCTCCCAGTCTATGCTCATCTCTTATTCACCGTCTAGTTACGACAATTGCGCGCGCGTGGCACTGATCTTTGACTTTTCTTTGCTCATTTCACTAACGACCCTTGCAAATTCAGCGTGAAAGATTATTTTGATGAAAAACAAGTATTTTTTTCAAATAGAAATGTAGATATTTATCGATTGTTCTCGAACGTTCGTCGACCACGTCTTAATTTTCTTTTTAAGACAGCTATTTACGTATATATTGATTGTACCGTGCAATACTATAGACAGACGAAAGAAAAAAGCCATATGGCACACGTATGTTAGCACTCATCACTATTTAAATCAACGATGAACCAACTGTCCTCGTGCAAATCTTAAAATAAATTGAAGTGAATAAATAAAGAGCGAGAGAAAAAATTTAATCAGTTAAATTCAACAACTTGAATGGTAATAGATTATACCATTTTTTTATTTAGACAATTAGTATCTAATTACGAGGTTAATTTCACATAGTACAAAAATATTCCGATATATACAGATTTTAATACATTACGTTGGTTTACATTGTCAGTTAAAATTGATGTTTGGAGTTTTCAAGTAGAGAAAAAATTATACATGTTGGTGCACATTTCGGCTGTTATCGTACTACTTATGGAGAGGAACATTTTTTGTTTACGAAGTTTTTTCATCAATTTTGAGTACTATTGCTTACACATTACAAATTGCCAGAGAATGTGGTTAAATTGTAAGTCTTGAATTTTCTATCCGCATTCGCAGTTGCTACAATTTTTAGATGGATACGAGATAGTGAATAAGCTAGTTGTAATGTCTAGATTCACACCAATTGATAGTTCCTATAATTATCCGAAAGAGATTGATATTTGTAAACTAAGACTTGTTTTTCTCATTACGAAAATTTTAGAGAAAATGTATATTTTTACTGGATTTCTCAGTGCATATAAGTTCGCGAATAGAGACTATAAATTATTTGTTAAATACTACTGTAAGTAGATATATAATATTTTTGAGAAGTCGTAAGGTACATTTATAGAAACATTTTTAGCATCATGTCAGCTTTGTCATTGCCGATTCTTATTCCAGTATATGATGAACGGATCCAAAAACGTTCAAGGATGAAATTGGATGGTCTTTTTTACTTAAAATCGGAAATTAATTTTTACATTTTTTAAATATTTGGACTCGTTTTGATGCTAAAACTGAGATTTTTTAGTGACAATAATAAAGGAGTTAGTGAAGATATAAGCATCTCTGTTAAAACAACAAAAAGCTAATTTAATTGCTTCGTGTATCGCAATGCACCGGCTGTGAAGATGGTTGCCCAGTTTTCAACGTTTTTACTTATTTCAATATTTAAATCTTTGCCAATGCAGGCACTGACTACCAACATCGAGTTGTCAGACTTGCTCTACCGTCTGTGAATATGAAATATGGATTTCGCCTATCCTTGAGTTTTTCAAGCTCTGCATTAGGGTTTGTTGATGGAGTTACAACATTGCCGAACTTGACATCGATATCAATGTTGTCAATAAGAATTTGATGATGGTATTCATATAGATAGTAGTGTTTGTCTAAGAATATTCTATTATCATTAATTAACGTAGATTTTTTTAGTATATTTAATTACAAAGCGCTCCCAAAATTTGCACTTGCTTCTCAACTCGTTGGTTTATTTATTGATATGTTTCATGATCGTGATCTATCAGATTTTTATTTGACATTATTTCATGTAGATAGTTGAGACATACATATTTCGTCCTATATCTGATTGAAACTAATTTCGATTCAGAGTATAATATATTGATTCAAATACTATTCTAATATCCAAAAGTTAATCTAATTCCTAGATATTAAATTTCCTCTAGTTCATGAGTAAGTTCAGTTTGAGGCGAATAGTATACGAAACAGCCCTAGTCTAAAATGGATCACCCAAAACTTTTGTGTAAGGATAACAAGGTGCTAAGATTGAAATTCTCATCACTTTTCTCACAGAAATTTGATAATTTTAGTGACTTTTTAAGCTTTTTTTCTCAAGCTAATCTATATGATTTTTAAAACATATCTGATAATCTAAAATAATTCCAAGAAAGTGGTCGAAAAGCAAAATAACAGGGTGATCGAAATTGTCGAATACACCTTTATGTCAAGAAAGGCAACCAGTATTTTTTACTCTACAAGATTCTTCTATATTGTGGGTTAAGGACACTGAGAAAAATGTTGTAGTATTATTTACAATATGCATAGATAAAATTACTATTTAGTTAAGGAAAACGTGGACATCTGACATATATAACAGATATCGCTACATATTTAATAAATTTTATCAAAATATCATGGAAAAAGTATAAATACATTAATAAAAATTATTATATTACATAGTAAAAATTAATTCAAGAAAATGTATTATTTTATATAGTTATTATTACTACCAACATAATAATTTTTACTCTTTACTTAATAACTTTTACTATTGTATCGAAAGTTTTTACTATATAAAATAGTAAAAATTATATCTTCTAAAAGCGCTGCCTAGGAGTCATGATTTTTCCTACTTTATATAATAAAATCTACTGCTGGAAGATTTCAGACTTCTAATGGCGGCGCCACTGTTGCGACAGGTCACTGTTAACGTTGTTTACTAACCTAACAGCGGCAAGCCATTACCGGCAAAACCGTTGCAGTAATGAACTTATGACAATAATTCAAGTATTACATTGAATGATTAATATAAAGTGAGTGCACGGTAATGAATGACTTTTTCTTATTTTCGGCTGATAATTTTGTCGCATTTTCTGGACAAAATTATATATACTTAGTTGTATATTCGTGTGCAACTAGTGCTTATCTTTATAACACAAGCGGCGAGACGTGTCCGAGCAATATTCGTTAAATATTTAATAAAAAATAAAAAAGACTTCCAATAACATTGACTGAAAGAATAGTTACAGCCTTTCTATATATACACATTGAAGCAGTGATAGCTCAATCAGTAAGGTGTCTGGCTGGTAAAGCGAAAGTCGTGGGTTCGAGACCTAGTCACTGGCGAAATTTTTCGAATAAAAAATCTTTCTCCCCATCAGCGAATTTACTTGAACTACTATGTACTAATCATAAGTCTTAGCTTAGGTTAATTACTTAATTAGGCTTTAATAGGTAAATATAAAGATCTGCCTTTTTCTGTCGTAGTAGTAAAAATTGTTTTCTGCGTAATAAAATTTGCTATTTTATATAGTAAAATTTATCCTAGCATCTCCTTTTCACACAACACAGAAATTACTATTTAAAATAGTAAAAATACCTAGACATCGCAGATGTTCACGTTTTCCTTAATGAAATAGTAATTTTTGTTACCTATGTAGTAAATTATATTACAACACTTTTCTCAGTAGAGGTTTCGGATATATATCAAAATTTACAGATCGTGATAAAATTAAAAACTATGATAGGTTAGAGTAATTGGAAGGTCTCTAAATTTTTTAAAATATTTATTACCGTCGAAATTTTAAAGAAAAGTAATCACGAAGTTCACCTCTTACACATGAGCTCATATGGAAAAAACGGCATCAAACGTGATAGAGTGTATATTTAGAAAACATGAACAGATCTTTAAAAAACGTACATACCTGTATAATAATTATTGTAGAATCTAAATCCAAAGTTTAAGCTAAGGTCACCATTGAAACTTGTAACTTATCAATTAAAATGTGAATGGAAACTCGAGTTTGTAGATTATACAGGGCGATGCGCAACGAGTGGAGCAGATCGCGCGGTCAGAGGAGTCGTTCCGCATAGCTCCCACAGCTGACTCTCTTGAACCTCCTTAAATTATGTAAATTATTAACAGTGGATTGCCCTGATTGTCAAAATTTACTGAGCTTTATTTTCGAAAGAGCGGTCTGTTACAATGAAAGTCGATGTCTATTGAAAGCGAATCCAGTCCTTTTTAGCATTAAAAATATCGCAAGCAGCATTAAAAGATGATAAGTGATATTATTTATAATTTCATGTTAATCTAGTAAATAAACTCACTTATATTGTGGTTTTTATTCTTACTAATAAATAGAGGACT